GGACCAATCCAAAAGTCCATATATCACAGGTTTGTGTTCTAGATAGCGGCCAGTGTCAGACAGCTCAGAGTGCAAGAAGCTCAGGAATGGAGAGTTAGGTACTGGGAGGTGCCTCTCTGTGTAGTAGTCCATTCTTGGCAATCTCTCTCTGGGAGTGAGATGGCGTAGGCACAGGGGCATTTCTTGTTAGAAAGAGTTAGGCTCCTGGTTTGTTCTACATAAAATGGCCAGAGGAAGCAGTGCCCACCTTGTAACTTAGCCCTGTTAGAGCATTCACTGGGGATGGGGAAGACACAGGCTTAATTCTGTCCTCTCTGACAAGGAGAGAAATAGGATTTGAACAGAGGTCTGCCACTTTCAGGACACTGTTCTAACCTCTTAGATATGTCATAGATTGATGTGGGGCTCCTTCAGTCTCTTCAGTTGAAGCTACTCTGATGTGGATAAATAATGAGCAACTGAAGAAGAGGGACTGGACCCTGCATCTTCTACCCGCAGGGTGAGTGCCTAAAGCACTGAACTACATAGTCATTTTCTCTCTCTCTCTCTCTGGCTACGTCTAGATTGGCATGATTTTCTGGAAATGCTTTTAACGGAAAAGTTTTCCGTTAAAAGCATTTTTGGAAAAGAGCATCTAGATTGACAGGACGCTTTTCTGCAAAAGTACTTTTTGTGGAAAAGCATCCGTGGCCAATCTAGACGCGCTTTTCCGCAAAAAAGCCCCGATCGCCATTTTCGCGATCGGGGCTTTTTTGCAGAAAAGAAATCTCTGCTGTCTACACTGGCCCTTTTGTACAAAAGTCTTTCAGAAAAAGACTTTTGCCCGAACAGGAGCAGCATAGTTTTTCCGCAAAAGCACTGACAATCTTACATGAGATCGTCAGTGCTTTTGCGGAAATTCAAGCGGCCAGTGTAGACAGCTGGCAAGTTTTTCTGCAAAAGCAGATGATTTTGCGGAAAAACTTGCCAGTCTGGACACAGCCTCTCTGTGGCTCAATGACTGTTTAGTCATGAGAAGTACCAGTGGGACTAATTGCAGAACAAACTTGACTGAGGCAACAGAATCTGACCCCAGAAGAAGGGGAGGATGGCCTTGTGTTGGAAGCAAACCCTGGAAATTAGGATATCTGGTTTCATTTCCTAGTTCTGCTCAAGTCTTTTTGGCTCTCTGGGGCAAGCCATTTGTTTTACTGTATCTCTACATTTGTTCTTCACAGATGGATAATGCTTCATGGTAATGCATGGGAGGGTCTGGTGAGTTTAGTAGGTTGACCTTTTTTTTTTGGGAGGGGGGGATGTTGAGATACTTAGAAAGAAAGTGTTTGAGAAATGCTAACTTTTATCGAATATATATATATATACACACACACACACACACACACACACACCTATCTCATAGAGCTGGAAGGGACCATGAGAGGTCATTAAATCCAGTCCCCTGCCCTCATGGCAGGACCAAGTACCATCCCTGACAGATTTGCCCCAGATCCCTAAATGGCCCCCTCAAGGATTGAGCTCACAATCTTGGGTTTAGCAGGCCAATGATCAAACCACTGAGCTATCCCTCTTCCCAACAAAGCAATATCCTTTCACAATTACTGTTGTTGTAAATTTTCCATCTGTGTGAGATGTCCATATTTGCACATACCCTCTTAAATAAAGAGGGATGTAGAAAGTAGTCTGTATAGAATGTAGATATATACATAAACATAGCTCTCAAGGTGTTTGTTACGTGTCAGTTTTCTGCATTAACTGTAAAATCATATAGAACAAAACATTAATCAAATTGTCTATGTGATTCTTTATTCCATAGTGCAATGAAAGATGTTGAAACACTAAAGTGAAATGAAACCAGGTTTTTAAAAAAAATGAGTTAGTGAGAAAACAATTTCCCCTTGTAGGTTCAGTGCTAAAGAAGCTTGTCCTGGGACTGAGGCAAGGAAGATATGGCATTTAGTTTCTTCACATCTCATCCTGGTGAACTCAGGCTGAATCCAAGAGGTCAATATAATTGTGTAATTCCATCAGTGAAACTGAAAGCAATACCTTTTTAATGAGGATATCAGAACCCAGTCTTTGGAATTATCTTAATTGTATTGTTACCAGCAAAGGCTCACTAGTAAACAAAATTTAATGGGACCTGCTCTGATTAGATGTTAAAATGCCTTTGTCCCCAGAAGGAGGTCTGACCTGGAAACCAGCATATCTGTCACTAGCGGATTTACCCCCAGTCCCGTTAAATAAACACGGACACGTGTCAGATTCAAATTTAAAAGGTATATTGAAAATACAACAAGTAAGTAACAACAACAAAACACTGAATCGATAACCCAGACCCTCACCCTCTGAAATAAAAGAAGATAGGAGAGATATAACTGGCAACAGAATGTTATACTTAGTCCGTCAGAGGCAGCCTTGATGTTCAGGACCTTCAACCCTTTAGCTTAAGGTAGCTGTCGGGGAGGAACACTAAGGTGTCCTTGAAGATGTGGGGAGATGCTCTATTTGATGTTAAGTCTCTGCTTGCACAATGGACAAACGCGCAGTTTGTGAGTGATAGTCAGAGTGGTTCTAAGCGCTGTGAGGGCCTTCACCACAGCAGGTGCCGAACGATGTTTGAGGCTCTGTTTCAGTCCCAGTGATGTAGAGGGCAATCAGGTAGCTAAGGCTCACGATGCTGGGCTATCACCACCCAGCGTGGGCCGAAGCACCCTAAGGGTGGCAGGACTGGAATCAGGTAGGTCTGTCAGCTAGACTGGACCTTCACCACGGTCTTCTCTGTGACAGGACTCCTTCTTCTCCAAGATGGTGCGAGAAACTGCCGACCTGATCTCTTCAGGATTCCAGATTTTATAGAGAAACTCTATAAAACTCTAAGGGTCTCTAGTGCAAAGCAGGGTGTGGTGCTGGGTGCAAAACTAGAACCGGGTGCAAACTTCCGTACTGTGTGCAGCACCGTGGTGCAGTGTGCACAGCCATGTGTGCAGATAGTGATTTTGGTGGCAAGAGCTTCTCAGGTTTCCATCTTGAATTGTCCCTCAGTTCACAAACTCCATTTTGCATACTGTCCATATGGTGCACTGTTCAGGGTTAACAGTACTCGTCACTAATTTTTGAATTCTGCTTGGCTTATGTTAATTTGAAATTCAGCATCACACAGCTGTAGTACATGTGCTGAATTCTTCAAATCGGAATGGAAGTTGTATTTAAGTAATAGGGAAATGTCAATGTTTTATCAGGTCCCTGAAGTTGCAGGTTCTCAGCTTCTATTCGACGTGACACACGGTAGGGTCACATAATTTGCTGGTGAACAGAGTAATTCAGATTCTTCTTAATTTAAAGCCCCTTGATAGTATTTTTTTAAGTATTTTAACACCTGATAGCCCAGAGGTGATAAAATATTATTCATTGTGCCCAAACACTGTGCTTGGGGCTTCACATACACAGAAATGTGCACAGTTCTGGCTTCTAAAGGGCTTATCCTCTAATCAGACATGTAATAATAACTGGGTAGGGTTAAAATTTTGACAGTCGAGAATATTAAAAGAAGCTGTTCAGAACTATGCAACAATATTTTGTTTAAGGCAGTTGTCTGACCCCACCACTTTTTGTTCTCTCCCTCCCATCCCTGCAGTTGGCTGGCTCCATGGTTGATATGACATCACTACCGCAATGCTTGCTGGGGCTGTGTCACTCATACTGTGAACTGGTGACCTGCAGCTTTGGGGGACTGCCTGGAAAAAAGTAAGGTTGACCTTCCCAGTGTACTGAATACCCCTCTTATGCCAGTTATTTAGGGTATTCAGCACATTATACTAAAGATCTCATTTCTTTCCAGTTCCGAATTTATGGATCATGTGTAAAACTGGTTTAAGAGCTTTACTGTCAAATACACTCTATTAAAATACCACTTTAATATTTGTGAGTAGGAGAGCTCTATATTGAAAGTTTCTTGAATGTGTAAACCAGAGGTGTAGGTCGCATCAAAAACTTTCTGAATGCTAAGATGGGCTAACTTTGGGAAATCTTTCTAAAGGTCTGTTCTTAGGAGATGATTTTAAAAGAAGCCAGCTTTTAACAGTAGGGAAAAATTCCTTTTTATATTTAAACTTTGTATCGTAAGATATTTTACATACATCTGCAAAGTTAAAGATGCATTGCAGTTTCTGTATTTAATTCCAACAGTCCAATTCAAGAAAAGATTGAAAGGACTAAAACAAAAAATGAGGAATCACAAGAAGATAGTATCCAGAGTAGTAATATGGGAGATTTTTTTAAAAAATCAGTGTCTTTTTTAAAAAAAAAAAAGGCTGCCAATTATTAAAGTTCGAGAGCTGCAGTGCAGGCAAAAAAGTAGGATACTCTGACTAACTTCTTAAGCATTGAGCATTTTATATATGTTGGTGTGCCTATTGATTTTTTTTGTGTGCATGAAAGCTGCTTGCATTAAGGGTTTACAAAAGATGCTGATTACATCATTCCACTCTGAGATTTTCCTGTCCAATTTTTTTTATCAGCTTGAGATTTATGGGGTTGTTAACCCATGTTTCCTCATGCCAACTATTTGAATTAATGATAGGCTGAAGTTAGGGAAGTGTGGAGGAACAAGTCATGGGGCTTCTTGAAAACCATAAGGAAAATGTACAAGAGCAAATCTGATACATCTCGGGGGAGAGGATGAAGAGGGGAGAAGAGATGTGACTTCCCTCCTGTCTTTCTAATAACAATTCCTTTGGGAAAGAATTGGAAGAATGGATGGGAAAATGTTTCATATGTGAGCCAGTCCCTAATAAGAAACTTATTTAGGGATGTAGAAGAGGGAATAAGTTGTTACCCATTTTGTAATTTATTTGCGACAGTTCCTAACATAGCAATTAGCTTTGTTACTAAATACTTTGGGGTTTTGTGTTCTGTTTTGTATTTTGATAGGTCGAACATCACTAAACTAATCTGCTGATTGCAGATTGGAAAAAAAAAGCCAATATCACTGCACCTTCTGCATGGCTTCTTTTTATCAGCAGCAGATCGCAGTATGTTCCTATTTTAACTCAGCAGTCTGAAATTCAGGCACTGATCAGGTTTTTGTTTTGTCTTTCAGATTGTTTCAAGAAAAAATCCAGAGGATGTCCGGGAGGTAACACATTTACTCTTATGAAATACAGGCAGTCCCCGGGTTACATGGATCTGACTTACATCGGATCCCTACTTACAAATGGGGTGAGGCAACCCCGCACTAGCTGCTTCCCCCCAGCAGACCAGGGAGACACGAAGCTAGCGCCCCCCCCTCTCAGCAGACACCTCAGCTTGAGAATAAAGGACTGAGGGAAGTGAGGTGTGGGAGAATAAAACTGAGCTCTGGAGAAATGTTTGGCTAGAGTTTCCCCTACAATATGTACCAGGTCCGACTTACATACAAATTCAACTTAAGAACAAACCTACAGCCCCTATCTTGTACGTAACCCGGGGACTGCCTGTACTTCACTTTAAGTAAAAGATACTTCAAAAGTTAATAATGAGTACATAATTTAGTATTTTATGTGTGTTGTCATAGAAACAAAACAAACATTTTTTTTGTATCCATCTGTCTTTTGCCTTTTAATTCAAAACTGAATAGCTAAGGTAGCATATTGCAACTTTGACATCGGTGATGGGGAAGGAAGGAATCATGATCACGACCTCAAATAAAATTATTAGAGAGTAAAGTGTCTTTTCATGACAAAACTGCTTTGCCAACTTGGCAGCTCCTATCTCATGGCTGAAATTGGAAATTCAGCTTTACTTTAACCATTATTGGTAAAATTAGAGCTACATTCACCATCTAAGTCTAGGTCTCAGCTGTATGTGTTCTTTTTCTCGCTTCACCTTATATGTCACTGAAAAGCCTGAATTATTGCTGTCTATGAACAGGGTAAATTGAAGGGTCGTAAAGGGAGAGAGTGTAGATTTTAATTCTCTCTTACTGTAGGGTGCTCTCGGGCTCCTTAAGAAGTAGTTTGTGATACAATAATAAAAGTTACTTCATTGCTGGCTCTTTGGCTCCTTTAGCATAGCCTTGAAGAGAGGGTCTGCTGTATTTTGACTTCTAAATACTTCAGAATATGATATGTAGCTATCTTTTAAGGTGTTTCTCTATTTCAGCTATGGGGGGGAGGGGTGATTCTCTGGTCAATGAGAAATACTTGTGTGATGGGATGAGTCATAGAAGTCCCTGTAGGGTTGTCCCCTATTTGCAGGGGATCCAAGCTCCCTGCAGATAGAGGCTTCTGGGGGCGGGAAAGGGGGCAGGGGAGGCTACCGTGAAACAGCCCCTGTCCGTGGGGGGTCCTCACTCGCTGCTGACAGAGATTGCTCTGACAGCATCCCTTGTCTGCGGGGAGCTGGGACCCCCTGTGGACAGGGTCTTCTGCGGGCAAAGGCTGCTTTGTGGCAGCCTTCCCTGGTGCCCACCCCTCATGCTGCTGCCTTTGATTGGAAGCAGTAGTTTGGGGGCAGGGGAGGAGGCACCGTGAAGCGGTGCTGTGGGGGAACTGGCTTTTAAGTTGGCTTGCAGGGGGGTGGGAAATGTGAGTAGTTGACTAGATTAATCATTAAGCCTAGGTTTATCGGTTAATTGTCTAGTCATTTACTCTTCACATCCTAAACCATGTAATCTCTACAAATCTCTGCGGTTACTCGCACTTCGGGCTCTGCAGTATGAAGCTTAGAGCCCACAGCGCAGCCTCTCTAGGAGCAGGGTTGCCAGTCCTTGCCCACCTGGATTCAGGAGCCAGCTCAATTTAACAGATAAGTATTAGCATATCGGTTAAATGGTTATTTGGTTAAACTTTAACATGTCTACTATGAAACTCCCAGATATTGACTCCATACCTGGGACTGCATTGGAAAGTGGGTTTAAACTCTTGCGTTTTCTCAAAAAGCTAGTTGCCAGTTCCACAACTGGCTAAGTTTTTGTGCACCCTCTGGATTTTCTGTGTAGTTTTTTGCTTGTTTTTTCTGATGTTTTTAATGGGCAGACTCTTGAATTTTATAGTCTACACAAATTTTAGTAAATAGGTAGATCCTGAGTAGCTCGTAGTTTTCAGTTGCTAAAGTTAGGATCATTTTTAGCTGTACTAACGCGTGCATGCCTGTCTAGGAGCCAGGTGTGCATCCAACCTCCATCAGGAGCTAGATTTCTTGCTTTGTTCTCCTGAGACCTGAGAACTACAAAGAGGCTGTGTCTACATTGGCAAGATTTTGCGCAAAAGCACTTGCTTTTGCGCAAAATCTTGTCACCTGTCTACACTGGCCGCATGTACTTGCGCAAGAACACTGACATTCTAATGTATAAAATCAGTGCTTCTTGCGCAAATACTCTGACGCTCCCGCTCGGGGATAAGCCCTCTTGTGTAACTGTTCTTGTGCAAGAGGCCAGTGTAGACAGGCAATGTTAATTTCTTGTGCAAGAAAGCCTGATGGCTAAAATGGCCATCGGAGCTTTCTTGCGCAAGAGAGCGTCTACACTGGCATGGATGCTTTTGCGCAAAAGCACATCTCTTGCACAAAAGCACATGCCAGTGTAGACGCTCTCTTGTGCAAATACTTTTAATGCAAAAACTCTTGCGTTAAAAGTATTTGCGCAAAATTATGCCAGTGTAGACGTAGCCAGAGTGTACTTATACTGCTAACTTTTGCTGGCACACGTTTGTTGGCGTAAAGACACCATAGTTAGTATATTGCTTGTATACTTGCATACTAGGCTCCTTGTATTGGTGCTTCATGCAATCACCGGGTGCTTGTATTGGTTCACAGTGCAGTGCATCATGGGTAGGTTTCCAAGTGTGAAGCTCATCACTGTCTTTCAGAAAGTGCTGGCAATGCATGGTGGAGCAGAAACAGGTTACACGCCGTAGCTAGGAGCAAGGAATAAACTTCCCAGCTTGCAACTGTTTCCATGCTATAATTAGAGAAGGTATGTGAAGCAATATCTTTTACTGGGCCAACTTTTCACTCATACTGTCTCTTTCATAGCTTGCAACCACATGGCTACAGCTATACTTAATCCATCACACAATGCCCTCTATGTCCCCTTATTTTTGTACTTTTTTTTTTAAAAGCCTAAAACTCAGGTGGCCATCCTTGCTGTCTGACATCTTTGGCAGAAGCAGGCAGGCTGCGCAACTCTGCATTATTGTCATAAGCGTAGCAAGCACCGGACATACAATCCTTAGTTATTTGCAGAGCTGTAAGAAAAACTGAATTGGCATGTGACATAATTGTGGGAATTCAGGGTTGATAGTGGTGTTCATAGATCATCTGCAGATGGTGGAGCACCATTCTGGGTCCAAGAAACAAACATTCACTGTTGGAATTGTCATAATGCAGGCTAGGGTTGATGAGCAATAGCTGCAGAACTTTTGGATGCAATTGTGAATCTATGTGAAGGGTTTGCTTCAGCTCAGAGGGTATGTCTACTCTACCCTCCTAGTTCAAACTCATTCCACGAGGAGTAACGGTAGTTCGAACTAGGAAGCCTAGTTCGAACTACCTAGTTCGTGCCGCATGTAGCCGCGCGGCACAGGGTTCGAACGAGCGGGGATTTAAAAATGGCGGAGCCCCGCTTATGCAAATGAAGCCTGGGAAATTCAAATCCCGGGCTTCATTTGCAAGTGTGGTATGCCTACATTACCCCGGTAGTTCGAACTAGCGGGGTAGTGTAGACATACCCAGAGAGACTAAAAGGAGAGCTGCGTTTACAGTGGAGAAACAAATGGCTATCATACTAGAAACTTACAACACAGGATTGCTACTAGTCAGTTGGAAATAATTTCATAGTTGGAAGACCTGCTTCAGGGGCAGCTGTCATGCAAGTGTTCAAAGCTATAAATTGTCTCCTGCAGTGGAGGATATTGAGGATGGATTTGCAGCAGTGGGATTCCCACACTGTGGTGGAGTGATAGATGGTGCACACATTCCTACTGTGGCACCAGCTCACCTTGCTACAGAGTCATAAAACAGAGAGGACTATTTTTCTATGGTTATGCAAGCATTGTTGGATCACCAGGGATATCTTACCAACATCAGTGCTGGCTGGCCAGTATGGATGTTAAATTTCATTTAATCAGCTAATTGAGTGGTCATTGGAATTTCCATTGATTAGTCGATAAGGAGGGAAACTAGAGCTGCAGCGGAGTTTGCTTCTGGCCCTGGGAATTAACCCCGCTGTGGCTGTGTCATTTAAATGTAGTAAAAGGTGAGATGCAGTGTCTGGGATGGGGCGGGAGCCAGAACAGCTGATTCCCGGCTCATGCCTGGTCCCCCACTATGCTTCTCTCTCCTCTGCAGAGATGGTGCTGGGGGGAAACAAACTTTTAAGCCAGCTCTCCCCCAGCACCAGCTCCTGCTTCCCCCACTTGCTGCCTCTGATAGAGGTGGGGGGAAGGGAACAAGTAGTTGAGTAGTCGCTCAACTAGCCAACTGACTATATCGAGATATACATATCTCACAGAGCTGGAAGGGACCTTGAGAAGTCATCAAATCCAGTCCCCTGCCCTCACAGCAGGACCAAGTACCATCTCTGACAGATTTGCCCCAGATCCCTAAATGGCCCCTTCAAGGATTTAACTCACAGTTTAACAGGCCAGTGCTCAAACCCCTGACCTATCCCTCCCTTTACAGCTCTAAAAGGGACAGAGGGTGCATGATGCTCCCATCTGTAAAAACATAGGACTTTCCAGAAAGCTACAAGCAGGGACTTTCTTAAACTGGTCTGTTACTGTTGGTGATGTTAGAACATAAGAATGGCCATACTGGATCAGACCAAAGGTCCATCTAGCCCAGTATCCCAATGCCAGATCCCTCAGAGGGAGTGAACAGACTAGGGAATCATCAAGTGATCTCTCTCCTGTCATCCATTCCCAGCTTCTAACCGAGGCAAGGAACACCATTCCTACCCATCCTGGCTAGTAGCCATTGATGGACCCAACCTCTATGAATTTATCTAGTTCTTTCTTGAACGCTGTTATAGTCCTGCCCTTCACAACCTCCTCTGGCAAGGAGTTCCACAGGCCAACTATGCACTGTGTGAAGAAAAACTTCCTTTTGTTTGTTTTAAACCTGCTACCTATTAATTTCATTTGGTGACCCCTAGTTCTT